TTGAAGATGACTCTTAATCTTTCCTCACATATATATCTTTCCTCACATCACATACATAGAGAGGGCAAGAATCATTTATCTTCGTACAGCATATGTCTTTCAAAGTCCTTGATGTATTACACTTCTGTAGCAATTGTAAGCCATTCTTTGCATACAGATGTCATCCAGACCTTAAGTAGATGTGTGACTCTTTCCTAGCTTTTTTTTAATACTTAATGAATCCTGCAAGTCATCTGTAGACATAAACATGACTTTCTGCTCTGAAGTTTCCAAAAGGTCAGTTCTGTGAATACTTCTGAGTGTACTGAAATCAGAGCAACACTTGGTAGCATTGTCTTTAGGACTATAGCCTGAGTCAGAAGAATTTGGTAAAAGTGAGGAGGAAGCAGTAAGGGCATCGATGCTGAAGATTATTGATATCATGCAGGTTTTTCTTTACTTTTTTGTGATGGACATCATTCTTCCTAACTTGGTCATGGTAACTGTGGAGTACTTAATGCTTGACGTCTACTGAAAATGGATGTTATGCCTAAATACTGTTTTCTTATGTGATTAATTCTCTTGGAAGGGATGGAATTGTCTAGATTAGTAGCTATAAACTCTTAAGAGAGTGAGCTAGATAATCAGCACAATCAACTTTTCTTCCCATCTTTGACTTGCAGTTTGCAGGTTTTGATTTTAATCTGTATGGCCTTAGGAAAAGAGAGGCAGGCATGTATTCTAGGATTTTAAGATCTAGATGTAGAGAATGAACTAGAAGACAGATCTTCACATAGCAGCTGCAACAGGAAAAATGATGTAATGATATGGGAACAAAGCTGCTAAAATAGTAGATTGTGCCTTCGTTTCACACCTGGCGGTGCGACTTTGAACTGGAAGTCTGTTAATAAACAGGTCTGTCCTTACCTAGTCCATGGTAAAAAAGGCGATACCCTAATAGCCACACCTGCATGATGGAGAAGCCTTCTATCATCTGCGTCATTTTGGATAGAACTATGAAGACAACACTCCTCTGGTGTATCTTTTGTCAGACAAGAGAGTATTTTCCAAAAGGTTCCAGACATGAGAGACAAAGTTGGTGTTGTCATATCATGCAGGCTCTTGAGAGGTGGTGGGTTATGATCTGCTGTATAACTGATCAAAGAGCAGATTCAGTTTGTTATCCAAAGCCTTCATTTACACATAATTGCTGCAGGGACCATAAATGTGAGGACAGGTATATTGTTTGTTCTGGTTTAGCATGGTCCACGGGAGGGCTGTTTTCAAGCTCTTTTTCACAAACTGGGCTAACTGATGCTCCTGAAATAGTAAGCTTTTAGAGAATGAAATTTATCACATGGACAAACATTGCCTGGAAGTTTCCATGCTACATAGCAGTGGGGTAGCACAGCAATGTGTAGTGCCTGCCTGGTGTTACTATTGAATTGTAGCCTGCTGTATCTCAGCTGAGAAATGACTGTTGGGATTAAAGGTGCGCTGGACAAAAAGTACTTCTGAACTCATGAGGTCACTTTTGAGGAGCATGCTGATGAGAGTGTTAGAAGCACTGAATGAATGTTTGAGAGGATGCCTTTTTCATTTTCTCTGTCTTAGCGTATGGTAAATTTGCATGAGCAAGTTGTGGATGAAGAGCTTACTTCTACAGAGGGGAGGAAGACACCTTTTCTTTACATGCTGTCCAGTTATAAAGCCAAGAATTACAGGGCAAAAAGTCAAAGTGAAGTTTTAAGTACAGAAATTTTACAGACATCTGCAAAGTGTCTTACGAAACCATGTAACTAAGTAGAGGCCTGTAGTCTAAAAATGCACTCTTCTTGCAATCAGTAGAGTATCAGCAAGATTTTAAAATGTTGCAGTATTTATTTGGGAAATGTGAGTTATTAGCTACTAAATATGCCAGGTACTTCAATGCCCAATTGATTCTTGGGAAAGCCATTGTGTGCGGTGCTTTCCCAATCACATTATGTGTTTTCACTTTGCGTTTGTGAAGACCATTAGGAGGTGTTTCATGGTTTCTTCTGTAACTTCTTGCTTATGTGAACTTTTACCAGGTGTTAAAAATAACATGTTTTAAGTCTCATATTGCACTGCCTCTTCCAAAGGTGTTCATAGGCTTGAGGTGTTTTGGCTTTTGGGTCTTTTTTTTCCTCTCTGTTTAGGCTTTGGGATTCCCACCTGAAGTATCCTAAGAAATGCAAAATGAATCTGGATTTCAAAAGATAACATTTTACTAGTTTGTGATCAGGAATAAGTAAAAATGTCTTTGCTGTCTTTCTACCTCTGAAAGCAGGTGAAACAACCCATCTTCCGCCTGTGAATGGCTCAGTTCAAGCAAAAAAGAAAATTACAAAGCATTGCTTTCTTTGTGGCAAGAAAACTGGATTGGCAACCAGCTATGAGTGCAGGTAGGCTGAGCATATAATCAGCTATTGTTTAAAATTGATAGCTGGGTTAACCAAAAGATTTTCTATGCTGCATGGTATTACTTAAGCTTAGCAAATCAAAAGAGAACCTTCAAAAAAGTTGCAGTTCTCAGTCCAGCAAAACTCCGGGAACTAAAATTCAGGAAAGCTGTACATGTTCTGCTGTTGAGGTATATGTTCTTCCAGGAAAATCAAGAAATGCAAGATATCAGGGAATAAAGAACATCATTCAAAAAAAAAAAAAAAAGACATTTTATACTAGCGTGGGGAGAAAGTGCTACAGATATATGTCCTGCAGAGTTTCTCAACAGTAATTATATCATTAACAACTTGAGGAAAAAAATGGTTTTGTTACAATTTTTCAGAAAATCTCCCTCAGATATGGCTCTGTTAGAGCATTTCTGCACAGTTTGTGAATTTATACAAATTTGTGTTTAAGAACTTTTTTATTTTTACATGTGTTCTATTCTTGTGAGACTTCAGTCACCTTTGAGCATCTTAAGCACCTCAAAACCAGAATGCCAGAGTGCTGGTCCCCCAGATCGTGACTTGCAGACAACATAATGAGAACTGGTGCTTGGTGGTTGTGGTGGTTTAACCCAAGCCAGCAATCAAGTACCACACAGCCACTTACTCACCTCTCCCCTCCTCCAGTGGAGGAGGAGAACCAGAGGAAAAGACAAGGAAGCTTGTGGATTGAGATAAGAACAATTTAGTAATTGAATATAAATGAATATTATAGTGAGACTAGTAATATTAACAATACTAATAATACCAACAATAATAGGTAATGAAAATAATGGAAAATAAAACATATGATACAATTGCTCACCACCTGCTGACCAGTATTCAGCCAGGTCCCAGGTAACGAGAGTCAGAGCCAGAGAGCCTGAGAGAGAGATCACACCGGAGTCCGCGCAAGCCTGAGAGAGAGATTACTACCG